TTTTTTTAAAAAAAAGAGCCCGTTTTCGCAAAAAATGGGCCGTTTTTGGGAGGTTTGCAGAGTGCAAAAACTTTTTTTTTTAATTTGCCTCCTCAAAACCTTGGTGTGCCTTATACTCTGAAAAATACGGTAAGTCTTTAGGTTCTTACGGAAGGTCAGCAGGGTTGGAGGTCAAGAATGAATGTTGAATTCATTGGAATTTAACCCAAAGCAACTGGGCTTTCTGGTTTTTCTTTGAAGACATTTTGCTTCTCATCCAAAACGCTTCTTCAGCTCTGACTGGGAATGGAAGGATTAAAGGATTGGATGGTGGGAACATTAATTCCCCACTGTCAAAGTTACAGTGGCACTGAAAAAAGTGACTTACGACCATTTTCCACAGTTACGACTTTTGCAGCATCCCCATGATCACGTGATCAAATTTCTGACGTCCCGGGGTCATGTGATCAACTTTTGCCACCATCTGGACAAGAAAGACAGTGGGGAAGCCAGATTCATTTAACAACCGAGTTGCTACCTTATCAACTGCAGTGATTCACTTAACGAAGGTGTCCAGAAAGTTAGTAAAATGGGGCAAAAACTCACTTAACAAATGTCTCACGTAGCAACCGAAACCCTGGGCTCAATTGTAGTCGTAAATTGAGGACTACCTGTAATGGGCACTGGAGAGAGCCAAATACTTGTTTAGTTATGATAGCAGGAGTCCTAAAACACCTGGACATTTATTAAAATACAGGAAGGACAATATGTACCTATTGCTATCTTATCACTTGACCCTACCTTCGGGTGGTTTGGAAGCCGTTTCAAAGATTCCTATCAACAAGGCGCTAATCCGTTCCCTGTCCTGTTGCTTGCTTGCAGGGAAAATGGCAACATCAAATTTTTGACCAAGGGTGATAATAATGAAGTCGATGATAGAGGTTTGTACAAAGAAGGACAGAACTGGCTAGAAAAGAAGGATGTCGTAGGCAGAGCACGAGGGTAAGTAAACTTGGATTATGCAAGCAGCCTCTCTTGTGAATGCCGGAATATCAGTGACTTACGCAAATGGCATTCTCTCCTTCTCTTTCCCCTGCTAGCATCGTGATCTGATTTGGAAAATACATTTATTTCAGGATGAGTCACCAGAGGCTCCGGGGCCACATACGTACAATCCTCAACATTATTTTGAAGAGCACTGGGAGTCGGGTGAAATGTTACTGGTTTGGGCCAGTTGCCCTGAACTGGTAGTAAAAAATGCTACCGTTCCCCCGAACCGCTAATATAGACAATCAGCTGTGCCAGGCGATCCTTGGAAGTTTTTAAAAACTTTTTTTAGCCTTTTTTTTTTTACTACCGATCAGCTGTGCCTGATTGTCTGTTAGGTTTCTGCTTGTTGCAGGGGCCATTTTGTGTGAAGTCCAGCTGCTTATGCATTGTGCGCGAGTCAGTTGTGCAGCCACACCCACCCGGTCACATGACCACTAAGCCATGCCCACCAAGCCACGCCCACAGAACTGGTAGGGAAACTTTTTGAATTTCACCACTGCCGGGAGTCCCTTTTGACAACAAGGATTGTCTGAAAATTGATAGCATTTTGAGCTGGAACTACCTGTCAGCCTAACTTTGGTTTAAATCACGGGAGTCCTACTCACTGCGTCATATTGGCATCATGTGACATCGTGACGTTTTCCCCCTTTGCGGAGCTGGGATAGGCATGGCCCACCCATGACCCATCCAGCCCATAGGCCGCCAGTTTGACACCCCTGGTTTAAATTATTATTTGGATGTCTACAGCAAGTAACAGTACTTCTAGATGAAAAAGAGTTAGGAAATCCAAGAAATGAAGTCTCAATCGGGAAGTTAAAACAAATCCAACAGTCTCCAGTCTGTTTCCAAACATAGATAGATGATAGATAGATAGATAGATAGATAGATAGATAGATAGATAGATAGATAGATAGAT